ATACCCATCATTCAGAGAGCCCTAATCAGAACACTCCAGATGAAAGTGGAGGCAATCTTCATTGCTCCTTGGTGGCCACAACAACCATGGTTCTCCGTGCTCCTGCAGTCAGCGGTGGACAAGATAAGGTTACCCTTTCTTCCACATCTGATCACTCAGGACGAAGGGAGCATCCATCATCCAGACTTGGAATCTCTCCACTTGACAGCGTGGAGGATTTCCCCTCAATAACGGAAGTTATTGAGAAAGCCAGGAAGCCAGCTACCAAGCTGCTCTACAAATATAAATGGCAAAACTTTCTCAGATTCACTGAAGAGCGGAAGTTGCAATCTTCACCTGTGGCTTTGTCTACGCTCCTTCTCTATCTGCGACTCCTGTTTGACGTAGGACTTTCCAAATCTACCTTAAAAATTTACACCTCGGCCATTGTTGCTTTTCAGCCCCATGGCTCTGAGTCATCCAGGTGGTTTTCACACCCCACACTTAAGGCGTTTTTCAAGGGTCTGTCCAACATGAGACCTCCGCTAAAGAAACCTGTGCCACAATGGTCACTGCAAATGGTGCTTCATTGCCTCACTCGCCATCCCTTTGAGCCCATGGTTTCCTGTGCCTTTCGATTGCTCTCATTCAAGGCTTTATTCCTGGTGGCCATCACTTCTGCTCGTAGAGCTAGTGAATTGGCAGCACTTCGTGTGGACTCCCCATACCTTCAGTTTTTTAAGGACAAGGTGGTACTACACCCTGACGTTTCCTTCCTCCCTAAAGTGATTTCCGAGTTCCACGTTAACCAACCTTTAATATTACCAACTTTGTTTCCTGACCCAGTTACCGATGTTGAGCACATGCTCCACTTTTTAGATGTTCGTAGAGCATTGGCTTATTATGTTACCAGGACTAAAGACTTTAGGAAAGTTCAAAGATTGTTCATCTGTTTCTACGGTCAGCGTAAAGGTTCCGCTGCCTCTTCTTCTACTCTGTTGAGATGGTTGGTCTCCACCATTTCTCTGGCCTATGAATTGCAGAACAAGCCTCTCCCTGAAGGTCTTAGAGCTCATTCCACCAGAGCTGTTGCTACATCCATGGCCCTGCTATGAGGAGTTGACATCCAAGACATTTGCAGAGCAGCAACCTGATCCAATGTGTCTACCTTTGTTAACACATTACAGACTGGACCTCCTGGCCAAGAATGAGACCAAGTTTGGGAGAGCAGTGCTTACTTCACTTCTGCAGTGACGGCCTTCCTTCTGGTAAGTGAGCTTGCTAGTCACCCACTAGTATGGATTCATAGAGACCACGTTGAAGAAGGACAGGTTACTTACCTGTAAACATGGTTCTTGAAGTGGATCTCTATGAATACACACATCCCGCCCAACCTCCCCACTCTCTGTCACTGTATGGTTGAGTCCAACTCCGACTATGTGGCGGGCAGATGGAACTGGGGTTTGGCGGGCGGAGCGTGCTCAATACAGGGCATCTCAAACTGTTACTTTTCCCTATAGCTCTAGAAGATTCCGAGAGGCCAGCGCTATCTTAACCCACTAGTATGTATTCATAGAGATCCACTTGAAGAACCATGTGTACAGGTAAGTAACCTGTCCTTTCTACAGTTTGCTCAGACATTGTGAATGGCTAACCAGAAGTTCACATTTGCTCACTGAAGTACAAAATGGGACTTGATTATTTGAAAAGGCAAGCCATTCTGTATAAATCCTGTTCTGCCTGTGTGATAGTACTGTCAGAGCACTGCCAGTCATTAAGGTTCCACCTTTAATTACCTCAACATGTCTTCTGAATACCAGCAGTCACTCAAAATCTCTTGAATTATAATATCACTACCAGGTGTTATGTTTTATTTGTATTATTTTAGATTTCCTTTACTTCTCCTGACAGATGCTGAAAAAAGGATTCATGTGATGCATCAAAATAAGGAGTATCAAAAGCATAAAAAAATTGACCTAGTAGAAATGTAAAAGGTAAAGATAAAGGTTCCCCTTAACATTTAGTCCAGTTGTGTCTGACTCTAGGGTACAGTGCTAATGTATCAACGATTTAAATTGTGTTCCCTGTTCAAGTTAGCCATAATTAGTTCACAATGTAATGAAGTCTGCTAAAACATTATATATCTAGTGGTACTAACCAATGCTCAAAGTGGAATAGGATAAAGTCAGATACCATTCCAGAGTTTTCAGGCAGACCTAAAACCATGGCCTTATTCTCAACAGATGTAATGAAATGTTATCTAATTTTAAATGAAACCCTCCCATTTCCCCACGATATGGAACATTAATTACAATGAACTATCTCTTCATTCTCACAAACTCGTTGGTACTGGCTTATTTAAAAAGTTTTAGAATACAATAACACTGTGTAGATGTTTATCTCTTCCCGCTCACTCTTTTATGCCATCTGCCTTTATTTCGACTTTGGCTTATGGATGTACATAAATTAAAAGTTGCCTTAACAGTGATATCAAACACATGGTCTTCCTTAGTTCAGTATGGTCTGTTTTAAAATTAGCAGTGCTGGTAATTGAGCTTAAGTCCTTTTACTTGTATAGCATTTTCTACCAATGTGTTACAACGTTCCCTCCCTAAGAACCAAGCAGCTAATGAGATGTTAGAGTCTCGTGTCCGACTCTTCGTGACCCCATGAGATGTTAGAGTGCGACAAATCACTATTGAATTGCTCTTGATAAGAGCAGACCTACACACAAAAGGAAGCCAGTGTGCCTCCTTTCAAATTAGCTATTCTACGTGCATAAAGACTTCCACATGGGTGCATTTAAGTATACATCTTCAAAAATCAATGTGTACATAAGAGAAGTGCACACTTCTAGCTGTGTGTTAGGATGGAATTATGGGCACCAGTGAGTTAAGACTGGTTGCCCCTTCCTGCCATGCTTACACAGACTGAAAAAACATTTCCCATCACACAGAGGATGAAGCAACCTCAAATTCATCACACAGAGGATGAAGTAAACTTCCCATCACACAGAGGATGAAGCAATAGAGCATGGACAGAGTTCCTACTCCAGTCCTCTGAAGATGCCTGCCATAGAGACTGGCAAAATGTCCGGAAGAACAACCTTCAGAACACGGCCAAAGAGCCCGAAAAACCCACAACCACCAACCTCAAATCCTTAGTAAATGCAATACTTTTGTCTTGTTCACCTACATAAAAAATGGCCTGGCATGTAAATGGATTATTTGCTCACAGTTCTGTATTTTTATAACCTATCTTCCAACCTCAAATCCTTAGTAAATGCAATACTTCTGTCTTGTTCACCTACATAAAAAAATAAAAAAAACGGCCTGGCATGTAAATAGATTATTTGCTCACTGTTCTGTATTTTTTTATAACCTATCTTCTCTCCCCATTTACACAGATAAATACTATCTTGCAAATGACAGTGCTAAAAGAAAGACGGTCAAAAATACTATAAATGGTTTCCATTTATTAAGAAATCAGGAAAAAAGGAACTGTACAAATCACATATTTATATGGCATATAAAGATCTCCTTTATATGCCATATAAATAGGTCCTCTTGGGCCCTAAAGATCTCCTATCCAATCTATAGGGAGGAAGAGTCTTGCCATTGGTCAAAGCAGGTCAATGAGCAAGTTAAGAAACAAATTTTACCGAATTTCTCAGGCATGCATGATTAAGCCTTAACATATGCATACTCTGAGTATCCAAGGTGAGGAACAAAACCAGATTTTTGCCTTGAGGAAAAATTGGGTGGCTTTCTTTAACCTTTAGAGTAGGAGGAGCCTGGAGACCACATAATGACAGACTTATCTGAACAAGGTACAGTAGCTGAAGGGGCTACAAATGTATGCCTAACATGTCCAGTTGGATTTCCTGTACCCATTTGTAAGGTTTAGTTAGTCCAACATTGCTACAGGAGTCCAGGTTGCCGGCGCACTCTGCCTTTCTTGGTTTCCAAGGGATGCTGCTGGAACTTTGGGTTCCAGAACTTTTGCCTCCATCTTTTCCTCTGCTGGACAGCTGTGCAAAACTCATCCAGATTGGTGCCAGGTGCTCCCAAGGCCCATGAGTTGCCTTTATAATGAAACTGCAGATCTGACCTGGGGATGGTGCTAGTGTGGCTTTCTCCTTCCTCTGTGCTGTTGCTAAGCTTAGAGGTCAATGCTGCCATGGCCTGGTGTCCAATGATGCGCAGGCTGTAGTACGCAAGGGTTTGTGCAAAGGAGTGCTCTATCCTCTGGCAGCGGTAAATCCCAGCGTCCTCTTGGGCCAGCCGACTAATCAGCAATCCTTGCTCTAGGACAGAGAAGCGGCCAGTGCTCTCAATCTGCAAGGAACATACACAGGATATTTGCTCAGTATTCTAACCTGAGAAAAGACAGAAGGGCTTACCACACCAGTCCACTGCTAAGATTTGTGGTCCCACCTTACATTCTCCCTCCACCCAACAGCAAAATCTGCTTTTCCCATGGTTCCCAGGGTTCACAGAAACTACCCTGCTCCTCTGTTAGCTTACAGTATCCTCAGTACCTCCTCGAGAGCCAGTGTACGGCTGTGTTGCACAAGCCAACGAATAGTGGTCTGTGGGGAGCGTGGAACACACTCAAGAAAGGTCGCATTGTTCTGCACACCAAATATCACCTTTTCCTCCGCCAAGGAAATTCCTGCATGAATAAAAGAATGCAACAGCATGGGACCAGGGGAAGGAAATGTTTTCTAGTTTTTCCTCAAAGTTTATTTACAAACTCTCAATGCAAAAAAATCTTTCTGCAAAAAGGGGTGTTCATGTGCCCCTTCTTCTACTAATCTCAACTGTAACATCTTTGCCCTCAAATGTCACTGTCACTCTGCAAGGTGCAGTCTTTGAACAAGTATTCAACAGAGTCAACATACAAGGTGTGCATTTCATATGAATCAGGTGCAGACTAATCCAGTGAGATTTAGGATCTGGCCAAAACAAAGTGGGGATCTTGTAACTCTGTCCAGCTAGAATCTGTCTCCTTCCAAAGTTTTAGGAGCATTCAGAGTGGCACAATATACGTATGTACAAAAGCTAACGCCCCCCCCCAACTCTCTGTCCAAAGAAAAATAGTTGTGTGTGATTTTGTACATTTGACTTCCAACCAGCAAATAGCAACATCAGACCTCTCCATTCAGTATCACTCCTGGTGCTTTGTGAGAGGATGCAAAAGGAGCTTACCAGAAGCTGCTGACCTGTTTTCCTCTGCAGTTGTGATTCCTCTGTGGTAATGGCAGCAGCTGCACGGGCATTTAAGGCTTCCAGAAACAACATGAGAGGCAGCTAAAGGAAAAAGTGCTCATAATCACGGCTGCCTGCTTAATGAGTGGTGGTCCCACTGACACCAACTCACCCACCAACTAGGTGAAGCTCCACAGAATTTCTTCTGTATTCCCATTTCAATTGGTCCCCTCCCTGCAGTCATATACGTTGTATAGGGAAGGGACCAAGTAAAACTCAGAGAACAGGTGTTCTCTGAATTTGAAAAAGTGGGTGTTAATGAACAACCACACTGAAGTACATTTGTTAAGTCTTAAAGATGTCAGAAGCCTTTGGGGTTTGTAGTGGAACATTCTTTTTGTTATACTGTATATCCTACACCCTGAGTCAAGCTCTCTGAGCAGTTTCTTGATAACAGTACAAACTCACTGTCTTCTGGCTACAAGTGGGACTTGGCAACAACTTGTAGTAGAGAGCCACGAACAATGAAAGGCATGGGTACAACACAATACACAACAAATGCAACAAATTGCCCACAAAAGCAGGAAGAAAATAATACACTTTTAAACGGTTCCAAAATGTCAAGGCCTCTTCTTACACCATGTAATATGTCTGTATATGGGCTTTACTGTGCACATTGTTACCTCATTTCTCAGTATTACAGCCCCCTCACCTAACCATCTACTGCATCAAGAGTGAAACCCTTTAAACACACCCATAAAGGTAACACTATCCTTTATACTTAACTTGAAAATTTTAAAATTCACAAATACCTCTATGTTTTATAGCATTTCCATACACAGTGATCCCGAAACCCATTCGATAAATAGGATGAGAAGCATGCTAAGAACATTTTGAAAGATTTCTGTTGCTGAAGAACTCTACCACCTATCTGTCTGGAAGCTGGTGGGCCAACTAAGGTATGCCTGCAAGTTTCATCCAATTCTGCCAAGAAGTAAAAATGACACAAGCAGTTTTGTTCTTAAAAAACAACAGTTCAGATATAAGTAAAAGTGGGTTCTTTCAAGCCCCCTTCACATATCTGTCAGCCCTCAACTCCTTATATGAGCTACACTACCTGCAAATTTCTTCCAATTCCCTGAAAAAGTACAGAGAAATAGAGCTATATAGCTGATATTCCATTGTATTTAATGGGGAGACACATGAAGCTTCAAATTTCCAAAACAAGATTCTGATTTGGGACTTAGTCAAGGTAAGTGAAACAGGACAAAATAATAACACCTTTGCTGTACATCCCTACTGGACCTGCAGAAGGTGGCATTTCTAAGTGAGGGCAGGGAAATCTTCTCCTTGAAACCAGTGCAAGTTCCAGCAGCCAGCATAGACAATACTTCATTAGAGAAAGGAAGAACCTCATTTGGTTTAAGATAGCTTCCTCTATCTAGGCCATACACGCATAACACCTAAACTTTTAGGTACATAACTGGAAGCGTGTTTAACTGCCTTTCCATGCTCAATTTTTCTCACTTTTGGATTTTGGCCATCATGCGTCCAGGGAATTGAAGCGGTTTACCAAAGTTCACACTGAAATAAATCTATTAATCTTTAAAATGTGCTACTTAAAGGTGCCATAATATTTTTCTATTTTTCTTTGGATTTTGTTACATGTGTACTGAAGCAGACCAACATGCCTTGGAAAACATTGCATTCTGTTTTTTTCTAAGGAAGTGTGATGTTGGCTATGAAATCACAGTCTCCTTTCCCTGACCCCCACCATCAGGGTTGGGGACTTCAGCTTAACTAGATGCATACACTTTAGTCAATTATTTAATGCTTCCCCTCAAAGGTAGATAAAAAACATTAACTGCCATATCAAAAAGCTGACTAATTGTTTGCTGGCCTTTCATCCTCTTCAAAGGTGAGGAGGTTATGAAAGACAGTCCTGTCTTTCAGCTGTGCATGTATGTGCTCCCCTGAGTTTCAACACCTGTGTAAACAACAAGTCTTTGTGTCTACTTTCCTTCCAGAATTCATTTATACTGAAAGACATGGTAACAGAGTTCAGCTCACCAAATGAGGGCCTTTGCACCTCCTTACTGTCCCCAAAATGTGCTCTTCGGGGTCTGAGGGACCCTGCAATGGTGTTCTCATCATGGGGAAGACAGCAACTGCTCAGGAAGAAGAACCAGCTGCAGGGATGGTGAATGCAGTCATGCCAGCCCCACATGAGAGTCACCAACCAAGAAGGCATTCCTTATATTCCCCTCACGTTTTTTAAAAGGGGAAATTAGAGCAGGAAAAACTTAACTTTAGCACAATGTCTCAATACTATGATCAGAATCCAGTCCTGTACTTCTGCTTGGAAACTCCCTCTCTTTTAGGCGGGTGACTCTCACCGTGAAGAGTGAGATTCGCAGCTTGGGGGTCCATCTGGATCCAGCACTCACCATGGAAACCCAGGTACCATCAGTGGTCCGCTCTGCCTATTTCCATCTCTGGTGGATTGCCCAACTGCATCCCTACCTTGATGTTGGGGCACTCACCACTCTGGTCTATGCGCTTGTAATCTCGAGATTAGACTACTGTAATGCCCTCTACATGGAGCTACCTTTCAGATTGATGCAGAAGCTTAAAATGGTGCAGAATGCAACAGCCATACTTCTCACTGGGGTGAGAAAATATCAGCATATTTTCCCCACTCTGGCTGCCCTCCATTTGCTGCCCATTCAATTCCGCATTGATTTCAAAGTGCTAATGATGACATATAAAGCCCTAAATGGTTTAGGACATCGATATCTAGCAGAATGCCTCTTCCCACCTAGATCTACCCAAATCCCTCCTTCTAGCCAGGAAGGGCGGCTGAGGGGCCTGACACTGAGGGTGGCCCAGAGAGAAAGAACAAGAAACTGGGCCTTCTTGGCAGTGGCCCCTCGCCTTTGGAACAGTCTGCCCCCAGAGATCTGTCTGGCTCCCTTGCTGGTGTTTTTAAGAGCAAATTTAAGACCTGGCTCTTTAGGCAGGCTTTCCCTCCTGTCATCACCTAATTACTTTTGCCATCTTGAATTATATGATTACTGTTGTCTTTATTTTTTTATATTGTTTTCACTTTTATGTATTATTGTTAGCCACTGAGAGTAGACTTCGGTCTAGATGGGTGGTGTATAAACTGAACAAATAAATAAATATTACCATAATCCCTCAGTATCCACCAAGATAGACCATCCACTCTGCATCCTGCAGCACTCTTGGCACCCTAACAACCTGCTCCAGAGTGCCAGGAAAAGCTTTGGAGCAAAATTTTGGATACCATGGAGGGTTGCAGCATATTATCCAGGTACTGGATAATAATAATTATGTGCCATCAAGTCGTATTTTTCCAGGGTTTTCTACATAGAGACTACTCGGGAATAGTTCACCATTCCTTTCTTCTGGGAGGTGCTCTGGGACTGTGAGGCTTGCCCAAGGATACACAGGCTGGCTGTTATCCCAGGAGGCATAAGAGGTGAGGGGAATTGAACTGTAAATCCAGCTACTCAACCCATTGAGCTATCCGGCCACCAATACATAAATCATTGGATCTCGGTGTGTCTGTGTCAGCATTTAGCACACCAAGTACAATCATAAAATGCATTCAAACTGTTAATAAAATTTTAACTGCTGCCTAGTCAGAAGGAGTCCAGAGGGGGAAAAAATTGTAGGTGATGGTATATGCTGGTTGAGAACCATTCCCATTCAGAAATTAAAGAGATTTGCAGTTTTTGCAGGTGGGCCATTGAGAATGTACACTTGGCCATGCTGAGAATAGGAACCTGCACAGCGGCCAGGTTGCTACTCTGGGTAGCTTACAATAGAAGCATCCACAACACAAACCAAGATTGAATAACAAACAACCAAGACAGTAAACATAAAAGCAGACAAAACCCAAACTTTAAGTAAGTCTAAGATAGGATACACAATGGTGACAGACCAGCAATCAGCCATAAAGATGCGGGCCATCAAAAATTAGAGAGAAGAAAAGACACAAAAATAAGTAAAATAAACTGGGGCATGAAAAGCCTGGATAAAGAGCCAAGTCTTTACATAGGAAGGCCTGACGTACTTCCACAGGAAGAGAGTTCCACAGCATGGTGGCCACCACTGAGAAGGCAAAGTTCCTAGTAGTGGATTTCCTGGTCTCCCTTGAAGTGGCCACCCATAGCATCATTGCTTAGGAAGTATGGGTGGGACGGGAGGTCAGCTTGACCCTGAATGACCTCCCTCAGTTGGCTTCATATAGATTTTGAATAGCAATGGGGAGATGATCAACCCTTGTGGGACACCACATTGTAGTACTCATGGGGACAAAGCAGCAACCCCAAGCTGAACCCTCTGGCCTTGGTTGTCTAGGAAGGACTGCAGCCAGTGTAATGCTGTGCCACCAATCCTCAACCCCGACAACTGATCCAGGAGGATACAGTACTGTGGTTGACAGTATCAAAAGCTGCTGAGATCCAGGATGACCATTAGGGTCATAGATCCTTGGTCAGCCTCCCATAAAAGATCATCTTGCAGAACAACCAAAACTATCTCAATCCTGTGACATGTCCTGACCCCTGATTGAAATGGGTCCAGACTATTGGTATCTTCCAAGAATGCTAGCAACTGATTGCCCACTAACCTCTTGATCAGTTTCCCCATGAATGGTATATTAACAACCGGATGGTAGTTAAGTTGTTGGCTTTTTTTTCAGAATGGGCCAGATCATTGTATCATACAAGCAGGAGGAGATGAAGCCGAGTAGCCTATTCCACCATCACCTCCCTGGTCAATTTCAAGAGCCCTTAGGGGCATGGTCTGACTGAGGTGGTGGCCTTAGACCGTGCCAGTGCCTTGTCAATGTCATCAGGCATCACAGGCTGAAATTGATCCAGTATAACCAGACAAGACAGGGCACTGGACATCTCAATATGACTCACTGCCACACTAATGGAGTTGAGGTCCCTAGAGATCGCCTCAATCTTTGTGCAAATTAAAGCATCCAGTTGAGGTCTCAGATGCCATCCAGCCCCGGTGGGGTCAATTAAATCCTTAAAGAGCTCTGCCTGCTGGCTGGAAGCCTCACTGATCCACCTGATGTTGTAGGCTTTCTTAGCACTCTAGATAGCATTGCAATAATGGCTGGACATCTTTTTTACAGCAGCCAAATTATCATCCAAGGGAGTTCTTCTCCAGGTGCCATTCAGCCTTCTCCTAACTTGTTTCAGGTCTTACAGCTTCCCAATAAACCAGGACAAGGACCTGGCCGTGAACTGAAGAAGGCATTTGGGTATGATACAGTCAACTGCTCTGGCCTCTACTGAATACCATTTGGTAACCCAGGCATCAACTCCATTGCAAGCCAGCTTTCCCAGAAACCTACCTAAGGTATTTTGGAATCCAATTAGATCCAAGTAAAGGCAACCTGTAAAGCAACATAAATCCCACCTAGTGGAGTCTGCAGAAACCAGAACCAATGCTGGGTTTACATTAAAACATCTCTGGCTAAATCCAAAGCTGACAAGTGTTTATGGAAATGCAGGTGAGTGCCTCAATGCCTCTGGCTTTTGTACAGCTGTGGCTAGATTGATAGTGAATGCTCCTTGACAGCGTAACCTACAGTGTAAATCAGCCTGTCCTTCAAACAACAGAGGCGTCAGGCGGTCTTTCTCAGGTTCTATGTTTAAGAGGATTGGAAAAGATCAGTCTACATCCCAATCCCAAAGAAAGGCAGTGCCAAAGAATGTTCCAACTACCGCACAATTGCACTCATTTCACATGCTAGCAAGGTTATGCTCAAAATCCTCCAAGGTAGGCTTCAGCAGTAGGTGGACCGAGAACTCCCAGAAGAAAAAATTGGAAGCTTGATTCAGTAATTCAGTATAGCATGACTGAATTAACAGTAATTCAAGCCATGATTTTTAAGTGCTCAATGCCTTAGGCATGTTTAAATGAATCAGTCAGATTAAGTTCTCCCACACTTGGTGCTTTTTAATTCAGTTTTTCCATCCCAAATATGAAAACACTTGCAGACAAAAAGTCCGAGCCATCCATGCCCTGGACTCACCTTTAGGATCATTTTGGCACTGACTGGTTGGGTTGGTCTTTGCTGCATGTTGGCACTGCGCTCGCCTGCAAGGAAGATAGTCAGTGCTTAGTCAGATTGCTCATTCAGGCCTATGCATTCTATCAAGGAAGCTGGTGGTCCGAGCCTGTGAGCTGGGTTAACAAACAATATGTGCCACAACTGGAAGGAAAAGATATGAAATGGGGGTCAAGGACGCCCAGCGCTTAACTTCCAGCCAAGTCCACCTACTGCTTTGCAGTGCTTTGGGTTGATGATAGTGCCTCTCCCTCATTCCTTCCCCCAATAGGACGAAGTGACAAGCACCTTACCACCATCTAATGTGAATTCTCCTCCCTGGGAATTTTGCTGGAACAATCTGGTAAACATTTGAAAAAGCAGAGATCTACTGTGCTCATAACTGCAATCTGAGAAGAGGATGAGCAACTGCAAGAAGAGCTGGCTTATCCTACCGTTAGCGGCCCAAGTAAAACTCATGGACTAAAAACAGACAGTACGCATATCCAATGTCTTTTGGAGACGTAGATAGCTACTCCCAGCGCTGCCCCAAGTCATAGGTCCTCGAGCATGTGCCAAAGAAGAACAGGCACCCTTGCAAAATGGGAGAAGGAAGCCTCACCTTTTCTTGGTGAGCAGGTAAGGCTTGCAGGACTTGCCATCCCAAGTGCAATACGGATCTTGAGCAAGGCAGCAGTCGGCACAAGTTTTGCCATAGAGTTCACAGCGATGCAGGGAGAGACGGACCAAGCTGTTGGTGGTGCTCACAAACACCTCCTGCTGCTCACCAAACCCAGAATACAAAGAGACATCAATTTTTGTTTTACTTTTCATTACATCAACGAGGGTGCAAGCCTTCTATGAGTTCAGGGGCAACAGGCTTCTCATGGAGGTAGAGAAATGGCACAAAAGCCATTGGCACAAACTCAGATTGATTCCATCACCACTGGGAGATGCTCATCTTGTCCTTCTCCATAAGGAGCTGATCTAGAGAAAAAGGCCACTGATTAATAAATAAAGACTTACCCTTGTTAGAGAAAACTGCATGTCCAAAATGGCGGAAGGCTTCTGCAAGAAACAAGAGAAAGCAACAAGTTGAACAGATACTATAAAGTCACGTTTTGTGTGTGTGTGTCTGTAAGCTAGCTTACACCTTTCTTGAAATCTTTGTATGCCAAACAGAACTATGGCTCCCATATTTCCAAGAAGTGGAAAAGGAATTGGTTGATAAAGAAAGTCTGATCCTCTCTGCTCTTCATACTTTGCTTGCTGAAAGGCGTAATTCATTTCCATGTGTACTGCGTCCACATGTGAGTTCCCATTTTTCTACTGCCCTGTACTACTCAAGTCAGAAGGCAGAACAAATGAAATTCTGGGTAGATGCCCCAAGAGTAAGAAGCTGCTATTCATACGAAGGCAGTAAACTCACTAGTGGCAGCAAAGCTGTAGAGCTGATGAAGGTTAAGTAGTTCTCTGGAGACCTGTCTGTGAGCAATATACTAAGCCAGTGGATCTGAAGTTTTGCAGAAGTGGAAATCAAGACTGGGACTAAAGAGGCTTTCCTTGAAAAAGGCCATATACAGTTTCTGTGTATCTGAACAAGATCACAGTTAGGTTAAAGGGACCTTAATATTAAACAAGACAGAATATAGAAATCTACCTTCCCTTCAGGCTTGGCTGTAATGATACTGAAATGTAAACTCAGTTAAGTAACTCATTAAAATATGTCTATCCTGCCCCATATTGAAAGATCTCAGGGTGAGACATAAGCAACAAGAACATTTAAAAACAATGTACACAATATCCACAATATGGGAATTTTACAGCCAAGACAGTCTATGATCTCCAGGCCCCAAAATCTTTGGTGAGAAGCCAGATTTTAATGTGGTGCCAGAATGATGCCATCACTGGTGCTACTCTGGCCATTTCACACATGGGATACAGGAAGACAGAAGATTCTCTCCTGTTTCTCCAGGTAAAGTATGGTTCCTACTGATGGGACTTTTTCTTATTCCTGGTTTTTCAGGGATTACACCTGGCATTTCTTTTACTCCTTAGTTCAATCTCTATCTGAACCCTGCTCTGCTTAAAATTGCTTAATCTATCGCATTCAGACACATTAGTCAAGGTTTAACTGGAGTTAAACATCCTTAACAGATGCAGCAGAGCAAAGAATAAGCTATTACGTTGCAGCAGAAGCACAGCACTGTTGAAGCACATACTGTATGGGGAAATGGTCAGCTTCTCTATCAGGGAAAAAGCTGTGTGGCAGAGCAATGTGCTGAACAATCCAATCCCTAGCTTTCCCACCCACCAAAAAAAGGCTATTTCCATTCAGTAGAAATCTGCCACACCAGACTTCAAGAGACAGGCCTCCTAGACCAGTGGTTCCCAATCTTGGGCAACCCAGGTGTTCTTGGACTGCAACTCCCAGAAGCCTCCAACACCAACTGGGCTGGCCAGTATTTCTGGGAGTTGCAATCCAAGAACACCTGAGACACCCAGGGTCAGGAACCATGGTTCTAGATTAATCCATACCTACAAAGGCTTTAAAGGATTCCACGTACCTTTGAAATATGGATCTCTTCCAGGCTAATTTCTTGTGGGTCTTGACCTCTGATGCCAGCAACCCTTACCTTCAACACTTTGCCTGCATCTATGGAGAGCAAAATGAAAGGATCTGACAGAAGGAATGAAGTTGCCTGGGATTACTATTTTGTACCTTTCAAGGTAAGACAGACAAGAGTCGCACCAGCATCAAGCACAAGGCAGAAAGCTGTCTTTATTATCTCTGTGTGTGCTACAGTCTGTAGAGCTCTTCTCTGATTGATTGATTGATTGATTGATTGATTGATTGATTGATTGATTGATTGATTGATTGATTGATTGATTGATTGATTGATTGGATTTTTATCCTGCCCATCTAGACTAAAGGTCTACTCTGGACAGTTTACAAATTTAAAAACAATAAAACCAAAAACATAATATTATAGGTCCAAGATTGCGAAGTATAAGAAATTAAGATAGAGCAGGAGGGAAAGCCTGCCCAAATAGCCAGGTTTTAAGTTTATTCCTGAAAACACCCAGAGAGGGAGCCAGGCAGATCTCCACTGGCAAGTTGTTCCAAAGGCAAGGGGCAACTGCTAAGAAGGCCCAGTTCCTTGTTCTTTCTTTCTGGACCTCTCTCAGTGTTAGGCCCCTCAGCTGCCTGGCCTGGCTGGAATGAGTGACTGGAAGAACTGGGTGGGAGGAGGTGCTCTGCTAGATATCGAGATCCTAAACCCTTTAGGGCTTTATATGTCATCGTAAGAACTTTGAAATCAATGCGGAAGTGAATGGGCAGCCTATGCAAGGTGGCCAGAGTGGGGGAAATATATTGGTATCTTTTCACCCCAGTAAGAAGTCTGGCCGCCGCATTTTGTACCATCTGAAGTTTCTGCGTCAGACTCTAAGGTGGCCCTACATAGAGCGCATTACAGTGGTCTAATCTTGAGACTGTGAGCACAGGGACCAAAGTGGTGAGTGCCCCCACATCAAGATAGGGACGCAGCTGGGCAATCTGCCAAAGGTGGAAATTTGCGGAATGGATCACTGACAACACCTGGGTCTCCATGGTGAGCGCCAGGTCCAGATGTACACCCAAACTGCGAACCTCACACTTAGTGGTACGAGTCACACACACCCAAAGGACCACTGATGTCTGGGACACCCACCCGAAGGACCTCTGTCTTGCCCAGATTCAGCCTCAGTCTATTCACCTGCATCCTTTGCTGAACAGCCCCCAGGCAGCACTCAAGGGACAAGACAGCATCCACTGTTGTTGGAAAAAAGGTTGATGCAGAGCTGAGTATTATCAGCGTACTGATGACACGAAGCCCCACACCCCCTAATGACCCCTCCCAGGGGCCTCATATAGATGTTAAACAGCATTGGAGAGATAATCGAGCCCTGTGGATCCCCACAATTGAGGCTCCATGGGGCCGAGAAACTCTCTCCAATCTGCACTCTCTGGGGATGGTCCTCCAAGACGGAACGGAACCAAGCAAGAGCCAGGCCACCGACTCCCAACTCTGAGAGCCTCCCCAGGAGGATACTGTGGTCGACGGTATCAAAGGCGGCTGAGATATCGAGAAGGACCATCAGAGACATTTTGCCCCTGTCGGCCTCCCTCAAAATGTCCCATCAAACAAAATGTCCCATCAAACAAGGTGACCAACGCTGTTTCCGTGCTGTGGTGCGGCCTGAAGCCCGAATGGAGTGAATACAGGGCATTGGTTTCATCCAGAAGAGCCTGCCGCTGATTGGCCACCACCCTCTCAACTACCTGGCTGAGGAAAGACACACTGGCGACGGGCCTATAATTACCAATATCGTCTGTCACCAAGCTCGGTTTATTCCTAATGGGCCTAATGAGTGTCTCCTTGAGGGCAAAGGGAACCTTGCCCTCCTGGAGAGACCCATTAATGATTGCTGTAGCCCATTCAGATTTTATAGGCCTGGCTGCTTTGATTAGCCAGGCCGGGCAAGGGTCAAGGGAGGAGGTGGTGGCATGACAGCGGTCAAGCACTCTGTCCACCATATCTGACGTCACAGGCTGAAAGAGATCATGTCTCATTGGGCAAGGCGGACGTCTCAGCTCAATCCACTTTTTTCAAATAGGGGGTAAGATCCCAGCGGATGGCCTCCACTTTTGATTTTTAAAAGGCTGCAAATTGGTCAGGTGAAATGCTAGTGGGAGACCAATCACTATGACCAACTCCAGATAGATTGTGAACTATACGGAAAATTTCTGCCTGCTGATTGGAAGCTTCACATATCCGGACAGCGAAGTAAGATCGACTAGCAGCCTTCATCTTAGATTGGTAGAGATTAGTCACGATCCTGGCAGCTATTTATTTTCCATCGGCTTCCGCCTCCATGTGCGCTCTAGCCTTCTCCTATTTTGCTTCATTGATCGCAGCTCTGGATTAAACAAGGGCGAAGGGCGATCTCTTACCTCTCCTACACTATGTCTTCTAATTTATATATATGAGTGACACAAAATTGTAGAGCAGAGGTGACCCCTGCTTGAAAGGGAAATTTCCTCAATGATTCTGGCTCTCCCTAGCTTCTTATTAAGGCTTTGGTGCACAAAGTTCTCAGAAATCAATTTAAAACTATTTTAATTCTTCGGCACTCAAAACTGTAGAATTTTGGAGGTGCTGCATCAATGCCCTCACCAAAAACATATGCAGAAGCTATTCCATAGTCGCAACAATGTTTTTGTCCTTTTCTGAATTTTTTTCTCATTGTTATATTTCTTGGGAAGTAATGATAAAAAAAAGTTGTGTGAAGATGGGAACTCATCAAACATATTTATATATTGGTATTAAGATACTTGCTTTGTTATATTCATCCTCTTTTTTAAGCCTTTGTAACACTGATTTGACAGCTGCAAAGCACTGGACTGGAGTCTTCAGTAATCTCTGTCCAAAATGACAGCCTGTTGTTTCAGGAATATGCTTTTACATTTTAATAGATCTAGAGCCAGCATCCTTCAATTCTTTGATTTTTAGTGGCAAGATAAATGTCTCATTTAGGCCACTTCTTAGTTCCAGTTATACTCACACAAATAAGCAGAACCTCAGCACTAGTTTGGCTAAATGCAACAAATCCACACTGACAGATTCACATTTTGAGACAAGCTAGATGCCACGGCTAGGTAACCGGCATGCCAGTCAGGGTTATGTTACTGCCAATTCCCAGTAAAACGTTTATGGTAAGGTGGAGGAGAGAGATTGTGGCATAGATGGCAGGGACAGCTTAATCCCTCCCTCTGTGATCACTTCTCCCCAGCTATTTTTCTCCCGGTGGGTCTCTGGGGACTAGAAAGAGCACCCACTAGGAACAAAAGTGGCTGAGGAGAAGAAAGTTTAAAAACAGGTGCTCACCTTGGCAGTCCTCCTAGCCCCACATAAAGCCCAAAACTCACAGGTACCTATGTTGACCCACAGCAACAAACCAGTTCTATCCATTCTCATCTCCTCCAGGAGTAGGTCTTTTGTAAAGTTAATGAGTCTTAATTGTTCATTCCAGATCAAGCCACCCCAAAATGTCTTGCACACAAACACACCCAACAATTGTAAGGACTGCAGCTAAATTCAGAGGACCAAGGAAGCCTGAAGGATTTAGCAGAAGACATGATTGTGAGTGCTGGGCAAAAGGTTGCAGAGCAACACAGCAGATGCTGAGAACACCATTAGGAAAGTCCTTGGCTAATGACTGGAGGAATGGTCATGCTTTTAGCATACAATATCCATCTGCAATGCCTGCTCCATGGAAGGAGCAATTTATGCATCTAACCCAAGGGTGGGCAACCTCCTGAGCTCCAGGGGACACAAAGGCCCACTCCTTGACCTTGGAGGGCTGCTCCCGCTGCCAACATCCCATACCCCGTTCCAAATATTCCCCCCCCAAATGAAAGTAATAAAGTGAAAATGCACATAGAATCCTTTAGTAACCAAAAATACTTTCAAAAAATAAAATAACATTTTTTGGGGGATGGGGGTGGTTGGTGTGAGGTGACTGTGGGATTTGGTGGTCCAGAAGCCATGGCATCATTTTTCCTCACACTCTCAAGAGGGCATTTTTGCAGCCAAATAATTGGGGGAAGATTGGGGGGGAGAGGTTTCAGGGGTACTCAGGGCTGTATGTTTTCCACCCTGATCTAACTAGTAAATAGAATAAGATACAACAGTTTAAAATATCCCCCCTTTCGGTTTTGTGGTTGCCCAGAACATCCTACATCTGTTTGCTTGGCATCAAAACCTGTGACTTTCTCAGCTTTCATTTCCTTGAAACCAGGCTTTGGCTGCAGCCTTCAGCCTCTTTTTCTCCATGCAGCTGTTGTCATTTTGTTTTATTTATTATTTCAATATTGAGCCATTAGTGTTGCCACTCTCTGGATGGTTCACAATATACTATATTCTGTAAATTGCACCCTAAAACATGATATAATAAATACAATAAAATCCTGTTGCTAGCTGAAACTACCTTTAAATAAAAATACACAAATTAAAACCCATTTGAATCTCTTAGGACAATTTTCACACTAGTACAAGGCAGCTTTATATAATTCGGTCTTAATGAGCTTCCTAATACCAGAGGAGGATGGCGCCTAGCGAACCTTTGTAAGATGCTTGTTCCCAGAGGGAATGAGCTATAACTGAGAAAATTCAGTTCCTAGCATTGGCTTCTTCAGGCTCCTTAAATGTTACAAATCTTAACATCAAGGACTGTGAGGAGTGTGTAGAAATTGCTGTGACAATGCCAACCTTCACGTTCCTATGCTCACTTAGCTGATGAAAGAAGCACAAAAATAAGAGCCTTTGAGTGCAGAGTCTCATGGAGATTGGGGCTTCTTTGAGTAGGACCATTTACCTGTTCCAAGGAAGAGAACATCAACCTGTCCAGCCTCAGTCTCCACTCTGTCCACCAACAGCCGATGAATCTGGAAGGGCACATTGGCTCTTATCAGGATTGGTCTCCCATAGAGTGGATAAACGGGATCCCACATCAGATGGTGGGTACGCATGAAGCTGATCACTTCATCAGGAAAGTCTTTTGTTGACTGGAGGAGAGGGTCGTATGTTTCACTGGGGCACTGGCAGAAAGAATGATGGACAAAGAAAGAGGGAGAGGAGCAAGAAAATCAGCATTCAAGTCCCACCCAAAGAAACAACTTCTGATTCTGTAGTAGCAAGATGACCGAGAGTGGTGGGGAACCTGAGAGAACAGGTATTTGGGCCATGCATTTTCACACACTGTCATGTGTGACATAAGGCAGGGGCTCTTGGACTGCTTGCAGAAGGAGTAGCTTGGCAGGAAACGAGCACGGCATCATAAACCTAAGCTTCTTCTTCGTGGCCTCTGTGAATGCACACATAAGGGTTAAGTCTGCGCCTGTGCTAACATTCTCAGAGTATTCTAGAGCTAAAAGTAACAATTTCATGGGATGATTCCCCATGAGGCATATGCTCCTCCCACCCAAGATTCCCCTCTGTTCCTTTTTTCCGCTGTGCTGTAAAGTTCTACAGAGAACTAGAGCTATTTCCGCAGGGTTTTTCCCTTAGCTTATTGATCACTTCCCTCTAAATTGGATAACTTTCCCTTCTCAATTATCTAATCTACTATCCCCCGTGAGTTGTTTTCATTTTTGCTTGCCAGCCGTTTGGCTTACCCTCTCCCCCACACTTCAACCGTTTACTTTTTCGGCCTCCTCTTTTTGACTCTCGGGCACATTAATGATTTTCTGCCTGAGTAAGCTACATCTTACCCAGATAGGAGCATCCCGCACGGATCTCCTTGTACACGTTTGCCTTTACTGGCTACTTCAGCTGTCTAACCACTGTCTAGTCACCTGAAAAATAGATCGAGTGACAGTCCCAGTTTCCTCTCACATAGCTTCCCCTCGATTCAGAAGGGGACCCGACAATGCCAAGGAGTCCTTAAAATCTAAGTCTACATCAACAGAGGAATCCTCGATGGAGGCTAGCAAATTTGCCTCTGAAGACACGATGTGCCAGCTCTACCTCCACAGACTCCGGGATCGCCTGGTAGCCTCTCTCCTCCAACTGGCCATTCAGTGATTGCGCTACCGTCCAATCCGGCCATGGCCCTTTTTAGCCCTACATGAGGGCGGGCATTTGACATTCCAGAGTTGGAGCTCAAGTCTCTTCCTCTATCTCATGAGGAAAGGAGAGTGAAAAGGAGGTATGTCTCACCACCACTATTTAAGCCTCTCTATGAGCAATCATTGAGAGAGACTGGTGAATCATCGATGGAAACTGGCGAAGCTGCCACTGAAAGAGATAATGTGCATGCTCCACCTGCACAGACTCCGGGATCGCCCGGTAGCCTCTCTCTTCCAACTGGCCATTAAGTGACTGCGCTACTGTCCAGTCTGCCCGTGCCTTTTTAGCCCTATATTAGGGCGGGCATTTGACAGTCCAGATTTCGAGCTCGAGGCTCTTCTTTCATCTCATGAGGAACAAGGAGAAACAGAGGCGTCCCCTCACCACATCGAGCTCGACAGGGACAACCTAAACACTTCTGTTTGGTCTCCAGCATATCAACTCCTCAGCACACAGGCTGATCCATCTCATATCAAAGCCCATTCATATCAAAGCTCGACATGGACAAATTACACTTCGGCATGGAGCCATACTCCTCATATGATGGCCCATCTTGTATCAAGACCCATTCTGATCGGGCTCGACATGGACACTACACTCTGCATGGAGTAATATTTCTCATATGCCGGTCCATCTCATATCACAGCTCATTCTGATCGGGCTCGACATGGACAAACTACACTTCGGCATGGAGTTATACTTCGCATATGCCGGTCCAACTCATATCAAAGCCCATTTTGGTTGGTTGGGCTCGACATTGACAAACTACACTCCGACATGGTACTATACTTCTCATGTGCCAGTCCATCTCATATCGAAGCCCATTCTGGTCAGGCTCAACATGGATAAGCTACACTTCGGCATGGCGCTATACTTCTCATATGCCGTTCCATCTTATATCAAAGCCCGTTCTGCTCGGGCTCGACATGGACAAGCTACACTTCGGCATGGAGCTCTACTTCTCATATGCCGTTTCATCTCATGTCAAAACTCCCTGTGATCGGGCTCGACATGGGCAAGCATTTCAGCACTTCAGCATGGAAGAATCCTTCCCTTGTTCAGGGTCTTCTCACATCGAAGCCCATTTGATCGGGATTGACATAGACAGGCTGAATCCTTCCTTTTCTCTGGCATATCAATACCTTAGCATGGAAAAATGCTTCTCATATGTTGGTTCATTTCTCGTCAAGCCCGTTAGGACGGGCCTGACATGGACAAGACAAATATTTCCGCCTTCCCTGGACGTCAACGCTTAGGCATGGAACAATGCCTCTCAAAGCCTATTCTCTTGGGCTAGACAAGGATCAGCTAAAGTTCCCATTTCTCCATCATATTAACACTTCAGCATGGAAGGATGATTTCCATATGCCAATCCATTTTAGGTTGAATCCATTAGGATCGACCTCAACATGGAGAAGATTTTTGTCTTTGTTTTTTCTCTACCATACCTACACTTAGGCAGGAAAAGATGCTTCCCAAATTCCTATCCATCTCGTGTTGAAGCACATTATGATCGAGCACGACCGGTCCTGGCTTTGAATCAGACATCTGCCAATTCTGAGCATAAACTCGGACCTCACTCCTCGAACGAATCTCCTTTCAACATGATGCGACCCATTATCATCCTCTGTTACCTTCAGTGTGCTTCTTTTCATTTGCACAGCTCACTCTCGGTTGACTGCATCCCTTCGGTTGGAAATGGAGGAACCGCCTTTTCCAGACCCCATCCATCACTTAGCTGAGCATTTACACTAACTATTCTGAAGCTAATAAAGGATGCTTGCACCAAGTCACCTCCTATTTAAAGATCTAGGAAGAATGTATAACAGGTACAAGATATGAGGAAATGATATAGAAATTTTGGGATGACACCAGTCCCATTTCAATCATCGTAGAACAAAATTATCCAAAGCAAGAAATGATTTCCCTGAATCCTACTAATAAGAATATGGAAACAGTGATGTCTTGAGCAGGGAGACTTATTCCCTTCAATCACTTCTCCATGGGGCCATCTATCAGTCACGATAGGCACCTACCTAGAGCAATTATGGTCTAAGATTCTACCTCTCTTGGATTCCATTAAAACAGAGCTTATAAATTCTCACTCTGAGACCACGACTCTAGCAAAGCAACACAGGATTGCTGCTGGATACGCAAAGAGCTTCAACTACTGTCGCATCCTCAGTATCTATAGAAGGCTCACCTAGTTACAAAGGACACAAAGGACAGAATTGAATGTCTGGTGACACTAGAATTCTTTTTACACAGAAGAAGAAAACAGCTAAATTATATACAGACTGACGGCCTTTTCGCCCCTCTCTCAGTTCTACCCATAGTTCTTTTAACCGTATCTGGAGTTTCAGCCTCCCAGACATTTCGGTTCATACAAGAATGTCACCACATCTCTCAAGGTTACATTATATAATTCTCTTGGTTCTCTTTGAGTAGCGTTAGACTTACTCTCTTTTTTCTGTATCCTCCAGGAAAAGACCTCTGCCTCCTGGACAAACATGTCATAATCCAAGTGCCTACATCTGTCTTATGCAATGGCTTCTACTTCTGTACTATTATATACATAGAAAGGACTGAGGCATCCGTCCCATGTTTGATCTCAGAAATCTTTTTACGTGTATTCTACTATAAGTTTCAGATTCCACCCTCAACACTATCATCTCATCTAATCAGTAATTCCTAGTTTTCACTACCATTCGATTTTTCAACATCTGCAAGGTCTTTCACAAGGTACAGAACATTCGTTGGAAAAAATCTCCCCAAATTCATGACCTCCACGGCTTCAGTGCTACAGCAAGCCAGACTCAGCCTTGAACCAGTCCAATAGTGATATCTTTTGCTGTCCAACCAAGTGGAGGATCCCTAATCCAAGTAACTACAAGTTCAGTTCTGTCACCATTGGGAAGTACTGACCAATGATGTATTTGCTGGTCTGTACGCCGACTACAGGTTTTATTGTTCCTGTGCAGGTGTGGACAAAAACACCGTTGGAGACATGTTCATATGGTAGTGGACAGGGAATCTGCCATGACTCTTCCCTCCGATACCCTTTATTCTACGGGCAGTCTTCCATCACCATCATTCCTAATCGAACGCGGTCCAAATACCTCCATAGTGACCAAGGTAGTCCTAGTTTGCTTGTCTCAGATTGATATAGACAGACACATGTCAGTTTCCTCTAGTTCCTCACCTCCTAACTTTGGAGGGAAGGATGGTCTACCATCCGAATGTATCCTCCATGAACTTGACAACCTGGCAAATACTCCCACTTTGACATCAGTGCTCAATTGAGCTCGAAAACCATCAACTTGATGTCTATGCGTAAATAAATGAGATCTTTATTAAATATACTGCAGCAAAGAATTACCTTACCAACTTTCTTTGAAACTGTTGCCTACTTGGCCGTTCTACTTATACTTTAAAATGTTATATATCTGCTACTGCTGCCCATTAACCAGATGATTCTGGTCCAGTATAACTTTTGTCTCACTCTATGGTCTCACATCTTCTCAGAGGACTTAGTACCACTCAGAGGACTCAGTACCATTGAGGAACAACGCTTTGTTCCTCAATGGTCTATAAATTCTAAATTCACTCATGTGCCCTCCATTCGAGCCCATTTTCTATTCAAATGCAAAATTACTTACTTCAAACAGCCTTCCTAGTGGCTGTCATATCTGTCAAGGGAACATGCGAAGTAGTCAGATTGTGATCCGATTCACCTGTTATTCAATTTTCCTGATAAAGTGACTTCATACTTTAATGTCTCATTCCTAACCTATTCGACTAGTTTTCATGTTTATCTATGCTTCTTCTTACCATAATTCTTCAGATCACCATCATCTCCTCTAGAGCACATGCTCCACAATATTGATGACACTTACCAGCATTTATTTGGACACTACCAGAGCTTCTGAACAGATGACAGGCTCTTTTTATGCTTTCATTCTTCTCATTTTGAAAGTACAGTTTCATTCTATCCATCTCTAGATCGATGGCCCAGACTGTATCTATGGCTTACCAGCGGTCAGACCAGTCACTGTCTAATCAGCTTTAGGCTCACTCCACAGAGCACTGTCTACCTCCAGTGTATCAAGAGTAGAATCGAGATTCTCGACATCTACCGTGCAGCAATATGATCTATGCCATCTACCTTTACAGAGCACTACTGTCGACATGTAGGAACACGCGATAACACTGGATTTGGCAGAAATGTGTTGTCATCCTTCCTACCGTGACGTCCCACCTGCCAATAACTTAAGCTTGCCAGTCACCCTTATGTGTGCATTCACAGAGGCCATGAAGAAGAAAGACAGGTTACTTACCTGTAACCATGGTTCTTTGAGTGGACATCTGTGAATTCACATTACCCACCCATCCTCCCCTCTGTCCATCACGGGTATCTTATTCCTGTATAACTCTCGTGCCCGGCAGACAAATTGAATTCACAGAGGTCCACTCGAAGAACCATGGTTACAGGTAAGTAACCTGTCTTTTCCCCAGATTTGACTGTCTCTGCGATTGTCATGTGCTGCCCAATTGCTTTCTGTTGGTTTGTTTGTTTATTTCTTTGTTGAAGGGATCCAAAGTAGCTCAAAACATTGTTAAAACAAACCAGGAATTAAAACAAAATTAAAAGTCTTTACCACCATTTAAAAAAAGCTATTTAGCCACCATTAAAAAGCTATTAAGCATCAAAACACACATCTAAAAGTAGTTTTTAAAATGTAAAAACCTTTAAAAGCCATTAAAATGATATAAAACATAAAGCATAAGGCATCTAGCTATGTCAGAAGTCTTCCCAAAGAGGAAGAGTTCATTCGTTTCCAAAAGGGGAGACAAGAGGAGGCCCTCTTAGCCTCATGGGAAGGGTGGCATTTTATAATCTGGCAGTAGCCATTGAGAAGACCATCTTTCAGGCTCCCATCAAATGCATTTGTAAACGAGACAGAACTGTGAGCAGGACCTTCCCAGAAGATCTTAAGATCCCAAGGGGGTTATATGGGGAGATACAATCCATCCGATTACCTGAACCCAAGCCATACAGGGTTCGTGGGACATAGCCATAGGTCATGCTTTTACTAATATGGTCTTGGAAACAGACTAGCAGCAACTGAAGCTATTGTATCAGGGAAGTTGTGTGCTCTCTGTAGCCAGCACCAGTCGGCAGTCTAGCTGCAGTAATTTTCACCAGATGAGGTTTCTGAACTGTTAGCCCCTCATAGAATGCATCACAATAACTCAAAAGGATTACTGGAAATTCAAGCAGGGTTTTCAAAGTATGTGAGATGTTAAAGGCAAGTTTTACTATTGTCATTTTCTATGGAGTTTTCACAACCAAGTGGGGATTTGGATCCAAGTCTCCTGAGTTCTAGACTGACACTCTATCTGCTAGACCATACTGGCTCTCTATGACTGTCTTGTAGTTCCCTCATAATGGCCTGGTGGTTTTTGCTTGGGATTAGTGCTTAAGAGCTACCTATGGCATTTGATACACCAAGAAGGCTGAGGGCAGAAAAGGAAACAGTGAGGAACAGTGTCTCACATAGGTTTTTGCTGCCCATGGGAGCAAATAATTCTTAGGACTTCAAGTCACAGCAGGACACCCCCCCCCGACATGTCCCACTGTGAAGCCTACAGCTTACTAAAGGGGGAAGTTGCTGGGAGAGGTTTGCATGCCTCTTTGAACCAATTCTAGGCACCTCTGGCTTCCCCTGCAGGAAGTTGGCATGTGTGGGATCACATACTGCATTCATTGGTGATGCACAAGTCAAGAGCTGCAGCCCAGAACATCCAATAGAACAGAACAGTGCTGGAGTTGTTCTCTGATCTTGTGCTCTGCTCCACTCTGACCTGCTCTGGTTATTATCATTAGTATCATTAATATTAATATCATTAAAGCAGGTCGCCTATCACTCTGGCATACCCGTGGGCAGCATTAACCATCTTCTACTGTCAAAATTGTCTGTGCAACAGTCAGAGAGAAGAGTGAATGAAGACCTTTGTGTTGGAGACACTGACCGTTCCAGGGCGGGGGTAGGGGATCCGTTCCTTGTATTCCACCCACTGGTAGTCCAAGCCTTCCTTATGTGCAAAGGGCCCATTGAAAGCAGCCCGAATGGCTGCCAGAGAATAAATGCACACTGCAGAACCACTAAAAATACCACTAAGGGAAAAAGAGAGTCAGGTAAGCAGCAGGACCAACTGGCAAATATGAGAATCTCTGCTGACATCTAGAAATGCTGCTGAGACTGAATGCATGAATCAGCACTACAAAGAGATATTGTTTGTTTTTACTAATATATGACTTTGAAAAGTTTCAGCTTTAGAAAATAAACCTACTGATTGTCTAGAGTCAGTTGTATTAAAAAAGCTTGGTTCCAAAAGACTGAAGTTCCACACATTCACACTCACAGGGCTTCTCTTCTTTGGAGCAGACTGGTGCTGGACAAATAGTGTTGCTAAGTTTGGGTAGAAGTCCAGTATGCCATTTAGTGCAATATCTTTGTATCCAAATGGCATAAGGCACCTCGATGAAGCAACCCTATTTGGCCTGGCTCCTGGAAAAAAAAACTCTCTCTCCTTGCCCCCTTCTCATCCTCCTGCTTCTGATAAGAATGTTGCAAACTGAGGCAGTGCATCAGTGCTGTCCTAACAGTTAAAAAAAGTTTTACTTCCCCTGCCCCTCCATGGAGCAGAGGAAAAGCTTAATTTCCCAATATCATAAAGTGATTCTGTCTTCTTAAAGCTACTTAGCAATATGGAGACTGAAAGAGAAAGGCAAATTTAAAACCATACGCTCCACTTGGGTTCATTTCTAGTGATCACACATATGGAAAACGAACCAAAATGGAGTAATCCTACCTACACCAAAAAAGTAATAGAGCCTCAGAAAAAGTGCGAAAAAGTGTGGGTAGGAATGCTCTGGAGATGGGCTGATTCACCCAGCAACTACCTGTGATTGCCAGAAAAAGGAATAAACAAGCCCATCCCTGCAGTGGACCAAACAACAGGATAAATAATTGCAGCCCTTATACAATCTTCTTCTTCTAAAAATGTTCTGTTGTCATTATTCCCTCATCCACCCATTTTTTTTTAAAGGAGTAAAGCTTCATCCTAACCAGCTTTCTTGCATGTTAATCCTGAACTCTTTCCAATCTTTGGTTTGTTATGAAGTAAGAAACCCTGCTCCTTCTCCACCAGGGAAGGAGTGCCTTAGCACAGAGTAGCCTTCCTCAATATGATGCTCTCCAAATCAGCTGCACTGCATTCCCAGCATCTTTGCATGGCCAAGAGGACTTGGAATATTTAGACTGGGAAAGACAATTTCATTGCTGTTGAAATGTGTCAGAAAGATTCCGTTTGTTTGAAGGAATGGTTGTGTAATACAGGTCCCTATTTATCTACTTGCATTTGCATGCTTTCGAACCGCTAGGTTGGCGGGAGCTGGGATAAGCAACGGGCGCTCACTCCGTCGCGTGGATTCGATCTTACGACCGCTTGGTCTTCTGACCCTGCAGCACAGGCTTCTGCGGTTTAGCCCGCAGTGCCACCACGTCCCTTTAGCACAGGGTAGCCTTCCTCAATATGATGCTCTCCAAATCAGCTGCACTGCATTCCCAGCATCTTTGCATGGCCAAGAGGACTTGGAATATTTAGACTGGGAAAGACAATTTCATTGCTGTTGAAATGTGTCAGAAAGATTCCGTTTGTTTGAAGGAATGGTTGTGTAATACATACAAGCTCTCATTAAAATAAATCTGTAATTCTTCAAGGCAACAAAATATTTTGTGGGGGGTTGGTTTGTTTACATCAGGGCTGGGCAATAAAAAGCATGGCCCCTCTCAAATGTGGCCTCCAATACTTGGGCCTTTCAGCAACCCTGATTCCATTTTTCCTAATTTTAAGTTGGAAAAGTGGTTCATTAACCCTCCTTTTTACCTCTTGGAACAGTTCCACTGTTTTGAGGGCCCCCAGCATTCTTGGGGTCCCCATACCCCCCAGATTTTTAAATTGATTTTAACAGTTCCACTGTTTTGAGGGCAGATTGAAAATTTATGTGTTGGCCAGATTGGAAATTTATGTTTTTCCAGATTGAAAATTTTATAAGAAAAAGTTTTGGGGAACCAAGTACACACATTGGTTTCTGAGAGCATGTGCAACCCCCTCCAAGACTTATGGAGGTGGTTCACTTCCTCTTTATATACTGAAAACGTATTAACACAGCTACCACTCTGAAAGCCGCTGTACTACCTGGAGTACTGTTTCAGTCTTCCTAATCAGAGTCACAGGGTGTTGATTGAATAAGGGCTGCAGCTCTGTGCACAAGCACAGTGTTTAAGTCCCTTGCATTGTTTTCCAACACAGCCACCCCCTATATGAATGCTGATCATTTTCCTTAGTCATGTGCATTATTTTCAGTTGCACTTACCTGGACACTGTGAAGAGACCATATACCAGCGGATCCTGTGCATTACGGGTGTGGAGGAGGAAGATATCCTCTGGAAAGAGAGAGGGGGAAACCCGCACTGAGGCCCATGCCTCGTGTCACGATCCCCACGTGGCCCCTCCTTGTTTCACCAAACTAAGAGCTCACACTACGTGTCTTTTAGCGGCCACCAGTTGATTACATCAACATTATCTCTCATTAATGACAGAGGTCCAGGCCATGTGTCATTTTTAAAAGAACCAAATAGAAATTGTTTGTTGTTACAGATGTTGACAAAACAAGCAATGTTGTTAACTCTTAAACAAACATCCTCCTCCATCCACTCTCAACCACCACTCTCCCGTCCAAACTCCCAAAACCCTTCAACTCTCTCTAAACGCTCAATTATCCTCAAGCCCCTCAACTAATTTCTCCATCTCCTCCACTCCTGCGGAGTCTCGTATATCTCGTGACTCTGCCCCTCCAGCACTCCCATTGGTCTATGCAGATATCACATGAATATTCATGACGTGGGCAGACGCCACACCTGGCATCATAGGACAAATTCAAGGGAAAGGTCTGTTTATAATGATTTCTGTATCCATCCACCCACACCTCCTTTCTGCTCCATAAATGCCAGCTAAACTGTTTGTGTAGCACCTGTTTAGATGCAGCCAGGTGGAAGGAACTAGGAAGAGCACATTAAAGCCTGATATAAAGGCTCAGCCGTTTAGGTCTCTGGCTGCGGAGGCAGAGGTTGGGAGTTCAATTGCCCTCTGTGCCTTCTTGACAAGGACTAGACTCGATGATCCATAGGGTCCCTTCCAGCTCTGAAGTTCTAAGAGGATGATGATGATTATTAAGCTTGATAGAAGGGTTATTATCACAGTAGTGTTAAATGGGATTTGAACTCATTTGAAGGTCAGGACACCCAGAGGAGAGCAAGCAGAAAGCATAAGTCTGCTGCTTTAGATTATTTGGCCATAATGTATCCTATGTACTGGTGAAAAAGAAATGGAGCAAAAGCCCTTCTAGGGAAAGAACCAGCCTTAGGTGAGTTGCATTGTCCAAGGGCACCCTCAGAAGAGACTGGTTCTGAGTACTCTATGCCTATCCTCTATACCTTGGAAACTCTGGAAAGGGTTGCTAGGGAAGATCAAACAAATTAATGTACAAACAAATGATGCTTTATTGCTTAAGGCGAAAGGTCATCACAATGCATCCACCACAACAGCAAAAACATGTGTAGCACTGACACCACATATTTACACGTAGATACATTCATACAATGACATAGCCTCTCTCCTAATTAGGGAAGATTCACAGCCTACTTGTGGCTGAAAAGGGGGTTAAAGGCAATGCAGAACCACAATCGCTAACCAAATGGCTGGACTTTCACGGGAAGGAGTCCAGGACACTGCAAACTTACCCAGCTGATCAAAGTGTGTTTCAGTGCCCTGTAGACCTGGGATTGAGCAGACCAGCCGGGCTTTCAGGAATGTGCTCCACCGGTTGATGAGGCTGTGCTTCCCGCCGACATCATTCTGCCAGTCACAAACAGGAGACAGTCAGGCATCATCTCCAGCATGAATCTTGTTTGTGTCCTAAGCTCCTGCTTTGACTGGAACCACTCTTATCATGGTCACAGTGAGAAATGGCCTTTCTTGAAACTCACAGCAGTCCTGCCTAGCTGGCACAGTTAATCATCATCATCATCACTGATGGACCAGATGTAACAGAGCTGGAAGCAAATGTCTCCTGACACCCAGAACCATTCTCAGCAATGTGAATTAAGGAGTGACAATCTTGAGTAACAGCAGGACAAAAGCATTTGGATCACTAAGCACTCATGTTTATAGGGGCTGTGCTGAGGAGGTGCATCCTCTGAACCTAAGCTGGAGGCCTCAAACTGACCTTGCAAACCCGGGCCACTCGGGCATGGACGCGCCTTTTCTCCCACTGCCCAGCTTCCACAGCAGTCTCCCGGAAAAAGAAGTATACTTTATCATCATCATGGTTGTAAGTGTCAGAAATGGCATAGGCACCAATAAACACAGGCTCTGCAAGAAGTGTGGAGAGAAACTAGACATTTATTGAAAAGAAAAGTACGTAGTGGGTTTTTTTTTCACTTTCTAATTAGAAAGCTTTTTAAAAACACAATGACAAGAAATGCAGTGAAAAAGATATACAAAGGCAATCCAGAATTTTGTTCTTCTAATATATTACACATGAAGTCCCTCTTCCTGCATAGGCATGCAGCTGTGGTCTATTCAATGCAAGTATGCAGTTCCCCTGGAATTGAAACATCCAAAAGCCATTTTGAAATGGAAGGTGCAATGTTTTCTTTTTTTCACTTGCCACAGTACACATTCTTCCTGCTGTTAGTATAATAATTAAATAACAACAACAATAACCCCTCCATGAACCCAGTAATCATTGACCAATTACATGTTTTCCAATGATGTTCAAACTCCTTATACGAGTACTTGCAATATATAATTATTTAATTGAAAATTCCCTATACTCAACTGAGCAGAAAGGGAACTTTAAAAAGTCAAGAGGCACAAAAAAAATCAGCTGCTTGTTGATAAAATCATAATAAAGAATGCAAAAAGACAAACAAAAAAACCACCCCAAATCTTAACATGACTTAGATAGACATTTGAGTCATTGCCACACACCTGGATTAACACCTGCCTAAAATTTTTGGGATAAGTTAAAATATTCAGAAGTTCCTCAAGAAAAATATGGAAAACATGGAAAACTGCCTTAATGGCCTATCGTGAAGAAATTGGGGAAGTTAGCATCAAAGGAGGAAAATTTCAAGGGGGTTCTTTGTCACCACTACTGTTTAACATCTCACTAATGCCCATGACAATACAGTGGTGCCTCGCAAGATGAGCGCTTCGTTTTACGACGAAATCACATAACTTCCTATGGGTTTTTTTTGCTTTGCGATGATCGGTTCCCTGCTTCGCTAACCGATCATCACAAAATGATGATTTTTGCACAGCTGATCGGCGATTTCAAAATGGCCACTGGGTTTAAAAAAATGGCTGCCTGCTGTTTTCTGGGACGGATTCCTCGCTGCACGGGCAGCGAAAATGGCTGCGCTATGGAGGATCTTCGCTGGACGGTGAGTTTCAAGCCCATAGGAATGCATTAATCGGGTTTGAATGCCTTTCTATGGGCTTTTAAAAATCACTTTATGATGTTTTCGTTCTACAGCGATTTCGCTGGAACGAATTAACATCGTAATGCGAGGCACCACTGTAATTTTAAATAAAACTGGATTGGGCTATTATATTTCAGAACAAGCAGGAAAAATCAATCATCAAAAATCAATCACATGGATGAGCTAAAACTATATGCAAAAAGTTCCACGGAGATAGAATCACTGCTAAACACAGTGCAAATATTTAGTGAAGATATTCAAATGACGGCAAGATCCAAAAACTAGATGGAAGAGAGCTAAAAATGGCAATATTATAAAATCACTATTAAATGTTGAAAGTTATAAATACCTTGGAATACTAGAAGCAGATAACATCATGCACACAAGTTAAAGAAATGACAGAAAGGGAAAACATCAAAAGGCTGCAGAAAATCTTAAAATCAAAATTAAAGGGGGGAAATACAATCAAAGCCATAAACACATGGGCAGTTCCAGTAATTAGACACCCAGTGTGAATAATAGATTGGATCCAAAATGAATTAGAATAATTGGATCAGAAAACACAGAAACTAATGAACATGCATCATGTGCTACATACAAAAAGTGATATGGACAGATTATATTTATAACAAAAAATAGGAGGCTATGGATTACTGCAAATACACCAGGTAGTAGAGGAGGGGAAAAGAAGCCTAACTGATGATATTAGTACAAGTAGAAAACAAAATTATTTAAGACAAGTGAAAATGGAGAATATTTTGAAAAAAATAGAAACAAAGCCTCAGTATAAGAAACAACAATTTGAAAATAAATTAAACAGTTGGAAAAATAAACCACTACTTGGACAACACTTGAGAAATATTGATGGAAAGCATGATCATAATTCAACATGGGCATGGCTAAAACTGGGAACCCTTAAGAAAGAAACTGAAGGCTTGATTGTTGCTGCACAAGAACAAGCACTCCAAACCAATGTGATGAAAGCTAAGATCCAGTTAGTGCTAATAGCAAATGTCGACTCTACTGAGAAAAATATGAAACTGTGTCACACCTCATCTACAAATGCCCAAAGATTGCACAAACGATCAAAAAATTAGACATGATAGAGTGGCAAAACTAGTGCACTAGTCATTATGCAAAAGCAAAACAAAACAAAAAAACACTTGCCAGCCTCCAAAAACCCATGGGAACATCAGATAGAGAAGGTGTCAGAAAATGAGGAAGTCAAGATCTTGTGGGATTTCTGGATCCAAACTGATAGACACCTTGAACATAACACACCAGACATAGTAGTAATAGAATGAAGAAATGTCTGGATCATTGACATAGCAATTCCAGGGGATGCCAGAGTTGAAAATAAAGAACTGGAAAAACTAATAAAGGAATGGTAAAACTAATAAAATGAAAATGAAACACACTTCAGTGGTCCCCATAGTCATTAGGGATTTGGAAACAATATCAAGAAATTTAACACAGTACTATAAGTAGTTGCAGATCTCAGAAATCACACTATCAGAGCTACAAAAAACAGCAATACTAGGAACAGCATACATACTGCTCCAATATTTAACAGATACTTGAATAATAATAATAATAATAAGAATAAGAATAAGAATAAGAAGAAGAAGAAGAAGAAGAAGAAGAAGAAGAAGAAGAAGAAGAAGAAGAAGAAGAAGAAGAAGAAGAAGAAGAAGAAGCCTGCAGCCACCTACCCAATCCCAGTGCCGCTACTAACCAATGGACTTTTAGGTCTTCACACAGTTGGCACCCAACACCACATTATGGTTCTTATCCGATAAGCATGTTCACACTGTAACATGTTACAGAATGCTATCGTGCACCAGTGTGTTCCTAGACAACTGGTTCTGGTTGTCCTGCTCGTCAAAAGAATCTATGCACATATATGTCTGTGCCAGTCCCCACTGTACTGACACTCTTATGCACAGAGTGAGACCCTTCCAAAGAGGCTGGAATGAAACTTCCATCAGTTCAGGCCATCAGCGTGAAGGTAAAGGTTTGCGACAGTCACAGTCCAATGCCACTTGGCTACCCACATCGGCCCACCCATCCTCTAATTTGACAAATTACCGTAACTTACTTTTATAAATCGGCTAAAGCATGATGGTGCTACATAAGTAGGAATGTGTTGAAGTCTTAGTGGCTAGAATGATCAGGATGGTGGAAACAAACTCAGGCCCCTCAGTCCATCCTTTCCCTTTAGGGAGCAACTGATTATACTACTGCTACTACTGCTGCTGCTGCTGCTGCTGCTGCTACTACTACTGCTACTACTACTGCTACTACTACTGCTGCTGCTGCTGCTACTACTACTACTACTACTACTACTACTACTACTACTACTACTACTACTAATAATAATAATAATAATAATAATAATAATAATAATAATAATAATAATAATAATAATAATAATAATAATAATAATAATAATAATAATAATAATAATAATAATAATAATAATAATAATAATAATAATAATAATAATAATAATAATAATAATAATAATAATAATAATAATAATAATAATAATAATAATAATAATAATAATAATAATAATAATAATAATAATAATAATAATAATAATAATAATAATAATAATAATAATAATAATAATAATAATAATAATAATAATAATAATATGCTATTAAGTTCTGACTTGTTCTAATTCTCTGACTGCTTTCTAGACACAAAGTAGTCAGAAATTGCATACTCTTCCCTCCTTCCTGTGGCACTCTGGACTGAGCGGGCTGCTCAAGGTCACACAGGTAGCAGGGGACATAACTCCATCAGCCACACAATGTGGGGGGATCTCAGTTGGCTTTTCGCCCAGGAGAGACAGTGGGAATTCAAACACCTGACTCCAGGTTCAGTTCCAACCCACTAAGTTACATCAGATACAGTGGCTTCTTTACCTTTTCTAAATTGGTATCAAGCATAAGGTTTTAATGTTACAAAGCCTCTGTACAATCTGTAAGAGAGTCTGGTCCATCAAACTTACTCCCTAATAAATGTGTTAATTTATACGATGGTTCAACACTCTCCTGTTTAGTATCCTTAGGTACAGAATAGCTATAGTTTTATTAATAAGAGAAAGTACATATTTCCAAAAATACTAAATAATTGGATGAGCATATCCATAACACAAGTCCAAAATCTGCCTGAACTGCTGAACACATCAGAAAAGCCCATATGGAACATAGTAGATACGGCTTAAGTTATGAGGAGTCAAAAAGCCATTTAAAGAAATTACCATTAAAATGGAAATAATATTTTATTTTGATCCCCTGAACCTTTCAGGTTGGTACTCTGACACACAGTAGTACCCTGTCAGACACCCAGACTCCCACAACAGCTTCTTCTTCCCCAGCTGCTGCTTCGTCCCAACCCAGTGTCTCACAGTCTGTCTCAGCATCTCCTCTTCACCACACAGGCATCACATATTTATACAGTACAGCCCCTCCTCCTGATGTCCCGCCTTCCACTCCCCATAGGATGGAACTTTCCCTCCAAACCCATGACAGACAGGTAACATCAGTGCTGTTATGTAACAAACATGTCTTCTGCTTTAGCAGTTTATTAACTATTTTACATGAGCAGATCTAGACTGCTGGTATGGATTATAAGACCCTTAGCTCGAATGTACATTTGCCAATTTGTTTTAAAGTATTCATAAGAGCATTGCACTTGCTGTAGTTTCCACTACTAATACCGTGTTTTCCCGAAAATAATAATTTTTGCTCCAAAAAACACATTAGGGCTTATTTTCAGGGGATGTTTTATTTTACAGTCATGTCATCTTCCAGTTGCTGCAAAATGCTGCACAATGTTGGAGGGTGGGGTTTCACTTAACTAGGGCTTATTTTTGGGGTAGGGTTTATATTACGAGTCTCCTGAAATATCATATTAGGGCTTATTTTCAGGTTAGGTCTTATTTGTTTTGGTAGAAGAGTTGTGGTATGAAGACTTCCTTAGCAAATGCTGAATTCACTCCTGCTGGAACAGACGCCAGTGTTTTTGTGCGATCCTGGTGACTGGACCTTACTAGAGTGGTGCCTCACATAGCGATCACTCCGTATAGCGACGAATCACTTTGAGATGGACTTTTTGCCATCGCAAAAGCGATCGCTTTGCGATGGTTCCTATGGGGGAAAATCGCTTTTTGATGATCGCAGGGAAGTGATCATCGCAAAGCCCCCATTTTCGGCCAGCTGATCGGTGGTTTCAAAATGGCCGCCGGGTAAACAAAATGGCTGCCCGCTGTTTTCAGGCACGGATACCTCGCTTTAGAGGCACCGAAAATGGCGGCACTATGGAGGATCTTCGCTTAAAGGTGAGGTTTTAGCCCATAGGAACACATTAATCACGTTTTAATGCGTTTCTATGGGCTTTTTATTTTCGCTTAGTGATGTTATTGCTTAGCAGCAATTTTTTCTGCATGGATTAACATCGCTAAGCGAGGCACCACTGTATATCCCATTCACCTCCTTCCTCCTTGTGCCTTAGAAGCTCATCTTTTCCTCCTTAATATTCAATGTGATCCACATTATAGGAATGGAAAATCTGCAGCCTTGCAAATGTTGTTAGGTTGCCATAAAAACATAAGAAAAGCCCTACAGGATCAAAGGCCTACGGTCAATCTACCATATGCTGAATCAACCAGATGTCCCCAAAGCAGGGCAACAGCTGTCTTCTACTTATGTATATTGTAGCTACAATTTGTTACATCATATACTGTATTTCTGTTAGTACATTTGCTGAGACCAGTTTCAACACTCTTTAAATATTAGCAGGACTGTAGGTCGCCTGTGGATGATTGGGGGGGGGGGGCGAAGCACCAACCTGAAATTGCAGAATGAGGTCCTCCCTGTTACAAACAGCTATGATGTCACCTGTCCTTCAAGGTTTAGGCTGGAGTGTTAACATCCAATGGTGGTCGGAAGGCGGGACATCAGGGGGAGGAGCTGGGATATATAGGGGTGTGAATGTGTGTGAGGGGCAGATCAGGATCTGTGAGTGTTGAGATGAGATAGTGATCAGATTGTGTGGAGATATGAGTCTATGTGAGCTAGAGCCTTTCTTTATGTGATTACCTGATTTATTTGTTATACCAATCTTAATGTACCAATCAATAAACTTTAGTTATTTTGTTTGAAATCCATTCCGGCCTGAAGATACTTATTGCAGGGGATGGATGGTGGCAGACTACCAGAAGAGTAACAGTGGAGTGACGTAGCGACCTTTCTTGGTGAGGTAGAAGGAGGCCGTTACACTCCCCATCCTAGTTCTCAAGGTGCTCCTCAATGGAACAATAATTGTTTTCCCAGGTTGCACATCACACACACACACCCTAGCCTACATTTTTGAGTGGAGGTATCAGTAAAATCCAACAGGAAAGTAGCCTTTTTTTCCTTTGCAGCTAACTAGCTGGAAAGCTAACTACTGTACATGGCACAGCTAATTACATGGCAACTGCAGGTTCATCACTCAGTAGAAACTCTGTTCTGAGCAGCTCATCTCACCACCAATTTACCTTTCAACCAATAATCTTGGTTCTGTTCCGTCCGCATGTAATTCTGATCAGATCTGTCAATCTGTGTCCGGAAGAATGCAGCACTGCTACCCATGAAGTCAATGGAAGTGCCTGAATAAAACTCCCCATCTGTGAAATAAATGAATAAAATAAGAGAGAGATTAAAAATTGAGATAAAAAATTGTATGTTCAATTCACACTCACTCATGCTTAAAGTAAACTCATTGAAATAAACAGGACTCCAGTCATAACTATATTTCTTTACTGTATTGGTTTATGAGGAACTGGTCTAAAGATAATTAAGGGTTAGCTCACACTTTAGAGTTTCCTTCTCTTATAACATTATCTCTCCAGGCATGCTAATCTTTCAGTGCTGCCACTGCAAGAGACATGCAAAGGAGATATGCGATCTCCCATCTGACCATTACAAAACAAAAGCAGAATAATCTGCCAGATGTGAATTGAAGGAAACCTCATGTTAGACTAAATGTTCAGTCTTTTCCATTTAAGAGAGCTCTCCTTTTCATGATATGTTAACTGTATTGTCTAGTTTAGCCCTGAGTGTGGATCCAAATCCAATGTTTCAAGAAAATAGAGATTACTGCAGCAAAAACTGCAACTGAATGGATGCACATGAGAGATAACAAACTGTAGGAGCAATTGTTGAAAGGGACTCTCTTAATATAAACCATGGGGGAATCCACATAACACTCTTTCCTGCACTGTAGTCCATTGTCAGGGTGGTGATGAAGGATTGTGCTTGATTGTGCTGGAAAGGGTAAAAGAATCACAGAATGATTTAATTGAAAGGGGCCTATAAGGCCATCAAGTCCAACCCCTTGCTTAGTGTAGGGACCCAAATCAAAGCAGATCTTATAGAGGGTTGTCCATTTTTCTCTTGAATGCTTCCAGTGTTGGAGCACTCACCACCTCCTGAGATAATTGGTACCACTGCTGTACTGCTCAAACAGTTCAGATGTTTTTCTTGATACTAAGCTGATGTGGATGTGATTTATCTTAAAGCAACCCTTTCAACATACACAGGAATCGCTTTAGAAGAAGCAAAAAAAAAAAAAAGGTCCTGCCTTGACACAGAGCAGGACTGGGATTGTTAGCAATCTCCTGCACATCATCAAGCCACTGGAAAATAGCTCACACCAGACCACAAGCAGCATTTAAGGAAGGTTGAAAAACAATGCATGTTCTTCTTTGACCACAGATTTCACCACATTGTCCCAGTATGTAAAAACGTCTCTTTCCAGATATTCACAGATGTTATGCTGGTAGAAACAGTACATTGTATACTGTAGATCAGTGGTTCTTAACCTTGGGTTACTCAGGTGTTTTTGAACTGCAACTCCCAGAAACCCTAGCCAGCACAGTTGGTGGTGAAGGCTTCTGGGAGTTGCAGTCCAAAAAAACCTGAGTAACCCAAGGTTAAGAACCACTGGTATAGATGATGAACTAGTTTGTAGACTGTCTTGTCTCTATAGTATTCAGGAGCATGGTAAAAGCCCAATCTGGTTTCTCCCACAGAATTTGTTCAGAAAATTTCCATCACTGTGTTGACTACGTTGGGGTGGACAGAATCCACAAGTACATCACATGTCATAAGCAGTAAACAAGTAAAGGTATCCAACTTAAAACATGCTTAACAACAGGAACAGCAAGAAATACCTCACTAGCTTAAAACAATTAAGCTTTTATCCATGAGAAATGGTTTGCATGCAAGGTATCCATTCCTTGAACCAAAAAACAAATCTCTGGGGTGGCCAAAAGTACCTTGTCCTGCAATTCAATGGCCACCTTTTTGCAACTGTTTCTAGTTGCTAGACCTAGTTAGGGTTCTAGTGGAAAAGCAAAGCACATCCAACAAATCTAAAGTCTGCCCGTTTCTGATTTATATGGCTCTCAAAGTTTTCTCTTCATAGCCTGCTTTACCTATGAGCAGTCCTGTGAAAGGCTCATGGGGGCTGTAGGGACACCTCCCTCTCCCGGATTCAATGGAATAGGTCATCAGCTGCATGGCTAACATCCCTGGGTCCTGCAAATAAAGCATACATTTCATCTCAAGCTGGACCCTCATGGTAAAAAGAAACATCAAAGTAAAATAAGAAACTATTTCACACTTCCAACCAACAAGCTCAGACATCTTAGCTCATCGCACTCTTGGAGACCTCCAGAACTAGAAAGCTGAAGATGCCAGTTCAGGATGCCATGCAAATTTTGACTACCACCTTGCCCTATTCTCTTCTTCTGCAGCCCTTCCAACTCTACATTTAAACCATTTATTACGGTTTAAATGTAGGTAGGTACTTCTTCCAAAGTCTGAAGCAGGGCCGTATCCACTGATAGGACTGTTGTTGCTACTACTGCTGTAATAGAGAGCACAAATGCCAGCAAGGATGTTAGTAATACCAGAAGAGAGTAAGTGACCATGTCTCCTACATCCTTCACCCTCTGCTCTCACCAGGTATCTTTAGAGTACTCTGTAAAAGGACACATACACAAGACAACTTCTGAGTTGTCTGGCTGGAGTGATCTTCCCTCCATACTATGGAAAGGATCACCAGGCATTCCTGTACAGCATTCAACTGCAGAGATATGGATGACATTTTTCCTCTGGGTTTTAAGAAGGGCTCGTCTTTTTATTTGAAGTGAAAACACAACATGACCCTCATTCATATTCTCTTAAAAGCATACATAGAGGTGGAGGCTAGAGGTGGAAGGGGCAAAACCAGGACCCCACCTGGAATCCGGTGCCTGAAACCATTGCTTCTTGTTCCTACATGCTAAGGTCAGCCCCCACGGATGCAGCTCACCTCTGCTCCAGTCTTGATTTGTATGAAGGCACACATAGGCTGATAGGAGCCAGTTCCACAGGCAAACACATGGCTGCTGTTGAAACGCTGGAGAAAGCGGATGAAATTGGCACATTCTGTCTGGTAAAGAGTCAAATACAGCATAGTTATTTGAACAGTTTTGGTTTGCCAGCAATTCTCACCCTGCAAGAAAATCTCTCACTATTAGACTATAACAAATATCTGCACCTAATGCAGTGCTGAGAAACGCAGTTCTCAAAATATCATTAAACTGCAACTTCCATGATCCCTGGATTATGGTAGGGCTCATAGGAATTGCAGTTCAATAACTTCTGGAGAACCACCTATCCCTCCTTCCCATCAAATGTTATCTACCAATTTTGCTATGAAGGACTGCAAAGTTCTCTTTCTCTATTTTAGTTGCCTCATCTCACTCAAAGCTATTCATCTAGTGAAACTATAGTGAAAGTGGCAAAGTGCACAACTAGAGGGGCATTTGTCCCACTGTTTCTGCTGGAGTTCTACACTGTTTATTTTGATGTGGGTTCCCCCCCCCTTTTACTAAACAACATAAATCCTTCAGTTGGGAAGGGTATTTTTTGGCATTATTTCCTTCAGGCTCATACCCCTAGGACTAATTTGTAAGGTATGGGAGGTGTGACAATCAGACACTTTCAGCATTAACAGCATTGCCTCTTTCATTGACGTACACAATACTGTATGTAGTTTGGCCTACACAGAACTTTGCTCCTCCTGTTCCACAAAAACAAATGTCTGCTTATATCCTCGTCCCACTATGACATTTGTGCAGAATCAAAATATCACACTTTCAATGAGGTGTCTTTGCGAGTGTAAACTTAGGGGGACAAAATTCAAACCTGCTTACTTCAGGATTCTTCCCAGCCAGCCTGCAATGTTCCATCTGCTCTCTTGGAGCTGGCCAAAAAATCTGGAAGAGAGAATACAGCCACAGACTCATCAGACTAATAAAAAGGAGCAGAGTCTTTAGCTGCTGCAAGCTGCCTTCTCTGCCCTGCCTTCTCTCTCTCTCTCTTCTCTCTGCCTTTGCTTCTCTATCCCCAGTGGATCTGATCTTCTCAGTTGCCTCTCCCCCATGCTCTAGGGAAGCCATCAACTTGAGTTTGATTGTTTCAAATGCCCAGCATGTTTATCCGATCCAGTGTCTGCTTCTTTCTTTCTTTCTTTCTTTCTTTCACACACATTTAATGCTGTTAAGATGGATTTTTGACAGACAAGGAGTGTTTCCTGTACATATATAGCACTGGCCAAGAAGTGCTGTGCACAGCCCTGTTCTGAAAAAAGGAAGGCGGGGTTTCACTTAACTGGATTTGGACAATATGGTCTTAGACAAGCAGTGATTCTGGCAGTTGACATTTTAAAAAGTAACATTTCTAAGCTCTGATACTGTTCATTTAGCTGGAGCCTTAAAACTTTCTATCTATCCATCTGAAGTGCAGGAAATGGGTTGTAAGTCCATAAAAGCACAAGGGAATAAGTGTGTGTGTTTAGACAATAGTTCAAAAGCTTCCATTTAAAGCTATTTATGTCTGTAAGCTACCCTGCCTTAACATTTCTGAGTCTTTTGCATTAACCAGACAGTACAATAAAAAGCAGGCATATACAGCATTTTCTGATGAACACAGCAATGAGAGTCTCTTCAGGATGTGCGACTAGTTTTTCTTAACTGGCCCAGTTTGGAATGGTCTAAGGGTGTTGCATAGGGATAGTTGTCACTTAGACATGCTGTATATCTAATATTTACTCCTTACAGGGATTTCCCACACATTTACAGCCTTCTAGTGCTAGTGCTGAGTGCTAGTGCTGAGCAGTTGTAAGTGGACATGTTTAGATATCCAAGGAAGCACTGAACACAATTAAGCTTGCACAGTTAACAATTCTAATGTTTTCCAAGATTAATGACACATATTTTAACAGGTGTTTTAAGTAAATTTTATCAAACCAGTACATTAACCATTTAAAAATATTTTATCACCCAAACACATACACACGTTATTCAACAGAGCCACACATTCATGCTGAAAAAAGAGCCAGACGAGAGCCTATTACTAGAGTATCTATTCAACAGAGCCACACATTCATGCTGAAGAAAGAGCCAGACCAGAGCCTATTACTAGAGTATTATATAAAAAAGCAAAACAGAAATAAAAGGTTTAAAAAAGTCAAAAACGTGGTGGCACCTTAAAGGCTAATGTTTACATTTTTTTAAATGTGAGCTTTTGTGGACAAGTCTACTTGGTAGAGTTAAGATCTTACACCATCTAGCCAGCCTTACTTCCATTCCTCTATAGAAGCAGAGGATACCCCCTTCCTCATGATTCATAAATATCATGACACTGACTTTCTCTTAGCCTCTAATAATCAAACTCAAACCCTGTAACCTTCATGTAATATTTTAATCAAACAACCAACAGATCCAGTATTCCAACCTTCTGAGGCTCTCTGGTGGGGCTGTCAAGATGGAAAAGAAATATGTGATCCTTAGCACCTGCCATCAGCCATGCCCTCTTTTCATCCAAAAGAAGCGACTGTAATGCCAGATCATCCTCAGACTCCAACAACAGGAAGGAGCTGTTTGATCTCGACAGGTCTGGAAAAGAGAGCACAAAAACAGAAAAAGAAGATTTTTGGCCTTCTACAGAGGAAAAAAACCTGTGTTCATTTTCATGACCAGAAGGGTGATGCCTTGCCATTACCGTGTTTCCCCAAAAAGAAGACAGGGTTTTATATTAATTTTTGCTCCAAAAATGCATTAGGGCTTATTTTCAGGGGATGTTTTATTTTTTTCATGTACAACTATCTACATGTATTCAAATACCGTCATGCCATCTTCTTCTGGTTGCTGCACAATGGTGGAGGGCAGGGCTTCACTTAACTGGGGCTTATTTTGGGGGTAGGGCTTATATTACGAGCATCCTGAAAAATCATACTGCGATTGGGTTCTTTGTCACTGGAGGACGGGCCCTTCCTTTCAGTGGGAAAAACAGATGGAGACAATGCTAATGGTACAAATAACGGCTCTTTATTCTTTTTAACATCAGTAACTCCAACAGAGAAAGGATCTAAGGCATTCAACTCAGGCAACAACTTGTAACTCTTAATCTTATTAAAGTCTACTGCTCTTGTGTCTTTCGTTATTTCTTCATCCCAAATGGACTTGCCCCTACTTGGTTCCGCACTGGATAGCTCAAGACCGCACATGTCGTCCTGCAGCAGGGATGCTTCACATAATCCCCCTCTAGATAGCGAAGGTAACTGCTGGTACCAGTAAGGGTCTCTTTCTTCCCCGAATCCTGGACAGGTGGCACCATTGCTGTGTTCCATCCTCCTTTCCCTCTTGCCTTATCTCTTTCAAGCAAATGTGGGGGATCAGGTAACAGTCCTCCTCCTGTTCTTAAATTAGGGAATTCCCTGTTTGTACCTTTGTAACTCCACTCTGTCCATCTGCGTGCTTATCATCCTTTGTTTGTACCTTTGTAACTCCACTCTGTCCGTCTGCGTGCTTGTTATCCTTTCCTCCTTCTCTCCCCTTCTCCTTCCTCTCTTCCTCTTTTATCTCGTACCACCTCATTGAGTCCAACTCTGCCCACTTCTGTTTCTGTCTTCCCTCTGCTAGAAACACCTCTACTGCTTTGCTCCTCCCCATTTCTCCTTCGTCTATCTTAATCAGCTCTCCTCCAACACAACTGTCTGTCACTTCTTGTTTGTTCTCTGTGGAGAACAGCACACTTGGTTGATCTCTCTCACATATATTAGGGCTTATTTTCAGGTTAGGTCTTATTTTGGGGGGAAACAGGGTAGGTCTCATTACCTAAAGAGCTGATTATTCTAAATGAAATTTTACTATAAACCATCAAAGGGGCATAGATGTTTGATTAAACAGAGGGATATATATTACCCCAAAATACTCAAATATTGGCTGAAATCCTGTTTTCGCAGCTATGCATAGAAGGCTGATGATATCATCAGACATGATTTTTTTTGAAAATAAAAAATTTTTTGAAAACAAAAAACAGATAACTGAAGGACCCCATAGAATCCTCTTCATCTGGGGGAAACTGCTGGGTGGGGGCAGAATGGGGAAAATGTTTAATTTCCAAAATTTGCTGCTACCTCAATGACTTTATTGGCAGTAGGGCTGGGTGTGTGTTTTTGGAAATTAAAGACTTCCCCACATCCCACTGCCCCAAACTATTCTATGGGCCCCTCAGAACATTTGGTGGTGAGAGGGTAGATATTTTGGATTTTTGAAAAATCACTGTGGCTGATGTCTTATGCGACATAACTAACAGAACAGGATTTCAGCCATGTGGAATTATTCCATTATTATAAGCTTTATTTTGATACGCAAACATAATCAATTACAAAAATATAAACAAAGGTGACAATATCTTAAAAATCAGTGTATTGTTTAATTCCTAACACCATCTTAACATTGCAGTCCTTGTGACACAAATACCATCTTCAGTATCAACATCCAATTCAGTGGTCTCCAAATGTTCCTATACTAAAACTCCCAGAAATCCTGGCCAGCAGATGTTGTGGTGAAAACTTTTGGGAGTTGCAGTCCAAGACTATCTGGAGACCAAAAATTGGGAACCACTGATCTAATTCAACAAATAGATCGAACATCAGAATTTTTATGTCCTTCCCTTCTGCCAAAATCTTTGGACTCTTTTGAGGTGTATTTTACTGGCATAATCCTTCACCTCTGTACTTTCCTTTTACTTATGTAGGTGTTTATCTTTTCTGGATTGTGACAATGGATCCTGCTGCTCTTGAAGTCATTACAGTGGTGCCTCGCGAGACAATGTTAATTCGTTCTGCGAAAATCGCTGTTAAGTGAAAACATCGTCTTGCGAAATGCGGTTCCCCACTGGAATGCATTGAAATCCGTTTAATGCATTCCAATGGGGAGAAATAGTTGTCGTTTTGCAAAAATCGCCCATAGGAAAACTGTTTTGTAAAACGTGGCTCAGCTGTCAAAATCGCTGTCTTTTGAAAAAAGTCCGAAAACACCCGTTTTGCGAGTCGCGGACCTAGCTGTCAAAATCGTCATCTTGCAAAAAACAGTCCCGAGGAAAAAAAAAACCATCTTGTGAAGCACGGACCAAAACATCATCTAGCGAAAATCGCCCATAGGAAACACCGTTTTGCGAAGTGCTATAGCTATCGCAAAACTCATCATCTACCGAATTAACTGTTTTGCAAGGGGGGCACCACTGTATATGATACAGTTTACTTATGTAGGAACATTCGTGGTTGCCTTCTTCATAGCTGTTTCAGAGAATGGATATAAAGAACAGTGCAAGTATGGACCGAAGATGCTGCCTGGAACACAGCAGTGACCTTGACTGGAGACTGTATCAAGCTGTAAAATCTTTTCGTTTCAGTGTAGGAGGTCATGCTTCCTAGAGGTGGCATTAAGTCCCACCAGACAATCCTGAATATACTGACTGTGACTGACTTCAGATACTGAGCTGGGTTGCACCTGGTTAATACTTGGAGGGGAGACTACCGATAGAGTTATCAGTAGCATCAAATTCCTTGAGATTTCAGATCCCAAACTCAAAAAGAGACCCTTGCAGTGTTATCAATGAGTCCTTGGATGTCAGGATGGTAGATCAGGAAGGACTGGGAGTGGGCAAAACAGCATCTGGGCCAGGTGACTGTAGAAATGGGTACAAGGGCTCAGAACCTGTATGAAACTTTGCCCATCAGGTAATATCATGAGAGCCACAACTTCATTTAAAAACACAGTATTTGGTGAATGATTTTACTCACAGTAAAATGTACCCAGCAAATGCAACAGCTGTCACCATTCTTGCTCAAATTCACATCCCATGGAACTGTGTCTAGAGCACACACTACTCATGGAGTTTTTCCAGGATCTACACAGTTGCAAGGATTTATAGAGAGCTCACTGTTGGCCACTGGGGGAGTTCCATTGGCTGCTTCTATCAGAGCATGTGCAACAAGGAGGCTCATGTGTCATGAGGCTGATGTCCCACTCTCTCTGCCTTGCTCCAAATGGCACAATGGCCCAGGGGCACACACCTACCAGCTATCTTCCCAGTCCCCTCTCCTTGCTCCTAGCCTTTTAATGTGCCAGTGTTCAGGCATTCAGCTTGAACCAGTGAGTCTTGGTGCCACTGGAAAATAGGAAGGGAAAGGTGCCCATAGTATAAAACCACCAAATGCAAACATTTCCTCCTCCAGCACTGGTCACTTTGAGATTTCTCTCCCTACCTGGAGAACTTCATAAGCAGAGCAACCCTCTGAAACTTCAGCTAACACTTGGACAGCTCACAACAGCTCACTAGGAATACTAGGGTTTTCTAGGTACAGTTAGGAAGGAATCCTGCACAAAGCCTATCTGCTCTTTGAGCAGACTCTCAGTCTTGTGAGGCAATCATGGAGCTCAGTTCACTCCTGGACCACTCTTGGTGAGGCAGCTTGTTTTATCAGTAATTCTGGAGATGCATCTTGCAGAAGAAGAAAGTTTTGTCATTTCAACCCCTTCTGCCCAGTTCAATGGACATTACACTGTAAACTAGGTCAATTGTGGAAAATCTAGTATTTGTCAAAAGCACTCTGTAAAGCTCCTCAAGGCTATCAATCACAATCTCCACATTAAATTGGGGTCTGCTTTTTCTCTCCCTTTCCCAGAGTTTATTCACTGACTCTGTAGCATGTTTCTTAAAGAAATAGTGACATTAATGGTCAAAACAGGATATGCCATCTAAACAAAACCATCACTTTAAGTAGATGACACATATGAACTAGGGGCCTGCAAAGGGTGTTGGGGGGGTGCTGTTATCGAGTCCCCCCTTTTCTTTTCAAAGGTCAAGGATAGGCCAAGCCCACCAAGAATGCCATTTTGGGTCAGGAGTCATGCTATATCCACTCCCCTTCCTTTCATCCTATGCAGCTACATTCTCTCGGGCTAAACTGTTCTAATTGAACTTAATGCCCTGAATGCTGAAACGTCCATTATCTTTCAGGCATGATCCATGGAAAGATGAGCTTTGTCTGTCTGGTCGCTAGATAATATCTGTTGGAAATTTTCTATCTTCCTGGATGAATTCTCAGCATGGTATGTCTCAGTACATAATATATTCACTGCACTAGTAATGAGATCACCACACTTTGTATTTTGCTATTCACTTTCCCCAATGAAGCAGAAACTGGGTACATAACTAGAGCATCCAATTTCACTAACTTTTTCCCTGATGTTAAGAGCGCATATTGATTCCCCATGTAGTGTAGTGGATAGAGTGATGGAATAGGACTCTGGAGAACAGGATTCAAACCCCCACTTGGTCATGGAAACTCACTGGGGGAGTGGTAAAACCACTCCTTAAATATCTCACTTACCTTGAAAGTCCTATTGGAGTCACTGTAAATAGATTCCAATTTGATGGCACAGAACATACACACAAAGGGCACATATTCCTTACTTCTGTGTTCCTTCCTTCTAGATTTATACTGGACTGGGGGTTTAATTTTGTTATAAAAACCTCATGGCCCAGTGGTTAAAGTGCTGTACTGCAGAGAAAACACTGCTCATAGCCAGCATTCAATCCCATT